TTAAATGGGCCCATGTTTTGTAACCATCCCACTCCCCCGCCCCCAAGTTGCTGTGACAAATTATCCTATTACCTGACCCAGTTGATATACAAGAACAAGATACAACTTGCTTCTCTTGTCCACACTTCTGGATTGAACTTCCAGCAATCACCAAAGCTTCTACCCTTGCAGCACCTCCCAACCACTTGATGGTTAACCACCAATCAGTTAAGGCCTCTTACACCTACACTCTCAACATACATTTAACTCTTCCTAGGGACTAGGGAATATATTCCCCCAGTCATTCATTTTATTCCCCTAGTTTTGTATTTGTTTTCCTACACTTCAAAAGACTGGAGAAACATTCTCTGCAACATACTTTGCGAAGTAAAACTGTGTTGGATTAATCTTCGGTGTTTTTTTGGTGAGTTAGGTTGTGTGTTGATGCTGCTGCTACAGCAAGTGGCCATAAAGTCCAGACACAACACCTGAGATCTATGGAGGTACGAGGTGTGACAATTTAATTCCTGGAATGCTTGCGGTGTAGCATTATGGTGGTGAGTCACACAGCCATTTGCATGTTTTGACATGTTCTAACTCGCACTCTCCTGGGTCACAGACCAGTTGACTCAACAGATTTCCTCAAGGATGGTGCCTCGAATCTTGACAGAAGATCAGAAAGAATGTAGTCCTAAAATGTCATCCGATCTTTTGAAGAATGCAAAGGTGTTTGATAGTGTTATTACCGATGATGAAACATGGTGTATTTAGTATGATCTGGATAGTTCACTATAAGTTCATAGAACATGGTACAACGGTCAACCAACATTGTTACTTGGAAATTCTGAAAAGGTTACGGGAATCTGTCCGGAGGAAAAGACTGGAACTCTGGCATGACAAGTGGATTCTCCATCAAGACAATGCTCCTGCACATGTGTTACGTGTCCACGAGTTCCTGGCCCAGAAATCCACTTAGAAACTTGATCAACCACCTTTTTCTCCTGACTTGGCACCCTGCTACTTTTGGCTGTTTCAAAGATTAAAAAAAGATTAAAAAAAGGACACAGATTTGAGGATATTGCAGAAATCCAGGACGCCGCGACAAAGATACTATACAGCATTCTGGAAAACAATTTCCAGGAATGTTTCCAGCAGTGGCACAGTCATCTAGAAAAATGCATCACTTCACAAGAGGACTACTTTGAAGGTCAGCCGCTAGTGTATTGGTAAGCAAACATTTTACAGTCCATTCTAGGAATTAAATTGTCACACCTCATATATCAATGCATAACGTGGCAGTTGATACAGAACAACTGTGTAATTTAACCCCAGGGCTGTAGTGTGAATTAATCCCAGGGCTGTAGTGTAATTTAATTTAATCCCAGGGATGTAGCGTAATTAACCCCAGGGTTAATTAAAATTATAATAACTCAAGGGCTTCAGTAAATTTACTCCGGGGCGGTAGTGTAACAAATTACTGAGGGTAGTGAAATTGCCACTTGAGAACCATTGGCCCTAAATAAATAAACAAATAAATAGTCTTCATATATATTTTAAATAAATAAATTAAAAAAAGGGATAATAATAATAATGTCTTCTATGAGTGGGTATGCAACCAGGTGCATGTCGTGCGCAATGTATGCGCTAGATGTGAGCGAGGTGTTTGTTTGGAATCCCTGACTCTGGATCTAAACAACAAACTGGCAACACTGAGGAGCATAACCATAACGGAAAGGAGTCTGGACCTAACGCACCAGGCTGTGGTGGAGGGAGGCCTAGATGAGAAGGGGGGTTTGAAGGAGCAGGATCCCGAGGTGGGTAACTGGGTTACCGTTAGAAGGTGGGGGAGAGGGAGGAGTGCGAGAGAGGTCAGCCCTCAACTGATTCACCCCAATAAATATGCCAAGTTGCAGGTTGTTGGGGATGTTAGTTCAGGGGGGACACTGCTGGAGCAGGACGCCTCCTCTATCCGCAGGGGGAGTGACTGCTCCGGCAAGGATGGGAGCCGGATGGAGGGTCAGGAGAGGCAGATCCTGGTGGTGGGAGATTCCATCATCAGGCGGATTGAGAGGGTAATCTGTCATTGGAACCGTGAGCGTCGAACAGTGTGCTGCTTACCAGGGGCTCGTGTTCGACACATTGCGGAATGAATTGACATATTACTAGATGGGGTTGGGCACGACCCAGCTGTCATGGTGCACATCGGCACCAATGACAAAATAGGAGGAAATTGGAGTGTCCTAAAACAGGAGTTCAGAGACCTAGGTGCAACAGGAGTTCAGAGACCTAGGTGCTCCACGGCAGTATTCTCTGAGATACTGCCGATGCCACGAGCCACTGCGGACAGACAGCACGAGTTGAGGGAACTTAGTAAGTGGCTCCGGAACTGGTGTCAGAAGGAGGGCTTTGGTTTCCTGGAGAACTGGGCTGACTTCTCAGTCGCCTACCGGCTCTTCAGCAAAGACGGGCTGCATCTTAATGGGGAAGGTGCAGCATTTCTCTGGGGGGGAAAATGGTAGAAAGACTGGAGGAGCTTTTAAACTAGATAATGGGGGGGGGGTATAAAAATGTATAAATTAAATAAAGAATAAATAAACATGGATACAAATAATACAGAGGGAAGTAATATAGGGGTAAATAGCGGGCTTGCTCCAGTCACCAGTGTCAAATAGAAATAGCTGGGAAGGAGGGCAATGTAGTCGTGATGGGCGACTTCAATTATCCAGACATAAATTGGGTTAATGGTACCTCAGGTTGGTGGGCCGATTTCTGAACATGTTGCAAGACAATTTCATGGAGCAGTTGGTTGATGTTCCAACTAGGAGAAATGCCATCCTAGATTTAATCATTACTAATAATGCAGAGTTAATTGAGGATATTGTAATTGGGGAGACACTGGGTAATACTGATTACTTTCACTATTGGATACAGGAAAGGGAAGTGGGCTGGACGGACAAGAACCCTAAATTTCAGAAGGGCTAACTTTGAAAAGCTGCACCTCCTAGTGGGGGACATCAAATGGGAAAACTTGTTTCACAACCTGAACACAGACCAAAAGTGGGACTGTTTTAAGAACACATTATATATTGCTAAGTCTGTATGGCTAAATAAAACTGTAAAACATCACATCAAGGACAAGAGAGTGTCATTTAAAAAATATAAGATGGAGGGGACAGCATTGGCGTTCCATAACTACAAAGAATGTAATAAAAGATGCAAACTAGTAATTCAGGCAGCTAAAATAGAGTGCAAAAAGCATATCGCCACAGTTAGTTTAAAAAAATGCTGCCAATACATAAACAGTAAAAAGGTAAGAAAGGAGCAGATAGGCCCAATAAAGGAGGAAAACGGGAAGTTAGTCACAAATGACAAGGAGAGGGCAGAGGCGCTGAACACTTTTTTCTCCTCAGTATACACTCAGGAAAAAGACGGGTTTAATGTACATGATAAAACACATAGTTCAACACAATATACCTCAGTGGTTGATGGAAACTGGGATACAACAAAGACTTAAACTACTTAGGGCAAATAAAGCATTGGGACCAGATAACCTGCACCCCAAGGTACTTAAGGAACTAAGCGAGGTTATAACAAGACCATTATTCCTCATTTTTAAGAACTCTTTAATGACTGGTAGAGTTCCAAGTGACTGAAGGAGGGCTACGGTAGTCCCAATTTTTAAAAAGGGGGCAAGATGCCAACCTGGGAACTATGGACCAGTTAGTCTTACATTGGTAGTTTGCAAACTGTTATAGGAAATGATTAAGGACTATTTGGTAGAATGTGTTCAGAATAATGGCATAATAAATGATAATCAGCATGGGTTCAGGAAAGACCGTTCCTGCCAGACCAACTTGCTAACTTTTTGCGAGCGGGTAAGTAGAGATCTGGATGGAGGGAGGCCGGTGGTTGTGGTATATCTGGATTTCTCAAAGGCTTTTGATACGGTACCACATAAGCGCTTACCACACAAGCTGAGATCCATGGGCATAGATGGAATGGTGTGTACGTGGATAGAGAACTGGCTACAGGAACGTGTACAGAGAGTATCGGTTAATGGCACCTTTTTGGACTGGGCTAGTGTCATGAGCGGTGTGCCTCAGGGTTCTGTGCTGGGACCCTTGCTGTTCACCCTGTTTATTAACGACATCGGGGAGGGTGTGAATAGCAATGTTTCAGTGTTTGCTGACGATACTAAAATTGGGAGGGTAATAGAAACGGACCTAGACAGTATAACATTACAGGAGGACCTGGATAAAATAGGGGAGTGGGCAACTATATGGCAGATGAGGTTTAATGTTGATAAATGCAAAGTAATGAGCTTTGGGATTAAAAATAAGCAAATGGGCTATACAATTATGGGTGTCCCACTAGGGAAGTCAGAAATAGAAAAAGATTTTGGGGTCATTGTAGACCACAGATTGAAGAATAGCTTGCAGTGCCAGGCTGCTGTAAGCAAAGCAAGCAGAGTCCTGTCCTGTATTAAGAAGGGGATTTATTGTAGAGACAAGTCTATAATTTTGCCACTTTACACATCACTGGTTCGGCTTCATCTGGAGTATGCGGTCCAGTTTTGGTCACCAGTCCACAGAAAGGATGTCCTTGAGCTGGAGAGAGTCCAGCAGAGGCAACCAAATGAATTAGGGGAATGGAGGACCAGAGCTATGAGACACGGCTACTAAATTTAAACATGTTCATGTTGGAAGTAAGGAGATTAAGGGGGGACATGATTTTCATGTATAAAATGTTCAATGGTGACAGCAACATTAGCAACAAACTCTTTGCGATTAACTCTGTAACAAAGACTAGAGGTCACAACCTAAAATTGGTGGGAAAAAAATTCCAGCACAAGGGGCGAAGGGGGTTCTTCACAGTTAGAGCGGTTAGGGTCTGGAACTCGCTGCCAGAGGCAGTGATTTCGGCTAATTTCGGATGATTTCCTGAGAGACCGTAATATACAGGGGTGCAGGTACTCTTAAGAATGAGATGATACATGGACCTATACATTGTAAGAGACTTACCGGCTTCCGTTCCGGGATCGCGATCCGTGACCGCGCATGCGCGCCGCGGGCCCGGCTCTCTCCACTCGGCGCACGCGCACCTCGGGCATCGGCTCCTTTGGCGCAGGCGCAACAGGCTTTTTAAGTCGAGGCCAAACAAATCTTCGGCGTCCTACTGTTTGCAACAGTGAACGCCGAAGATTCACGCTCTGCAACCGCAGAACGTACAGGGACCGAGAGCAGCATTGCCGCAGCACACCAGCGTGGGCGAACCCCATTGAAATGGCTCCTCTCATCCAAATTCCACCTAAACCTTGCAGAGTGACACCTAGGTGCAAGTAACTCTCAGCCACAAGAGACCATCAAAGGGACTTCAGATAGAGGCTCCTAAACCGCAAGTATCTGGTCTAGTCTGCCATTAACTCAGATCATTTTTGGAACTGCATATCCTGATTAATCAATTCAGTATATAACAATTACAGTGTGTGCTTAGGACTGTTATAGTTAGTCTACAACCTTCTGATGTTATACTGGACATGTATGTGATATTATAAGAGAACATTTATTCATCTCAATCATTACATATCTGCTTGATAAGATCCCTATGTGTGCTATCCACTAATCATAGCAAGTGTAATACCAGAGCTCACCACCGGGTGTCACTCTCTCGCATTAACCCCGTCAGTTTTAGTTCATAGTTACTACTTAAACTCAAATCCACGGTCAGATATGATGTAAAGGTCTTGAACTCTTATTTAAAAGTGCTGAAGGGACCACTTGCTGACCTGACCGTGAAATCCCCACTCCACAGTTGTGATCCTAGGCCTGCGTAGCAGAATTGTTACATACATACGCATACATCAGCAATGGGTTGGACTTGATGGACTTATGTATTTATTCAACATCAAATACTATGTAAGAGTGCATCAGAATTGTTACCCCATAACAGGAAGCTGTATAAGGTAAACTTCACTGGCAGGATCAAAAGGTATGTGTAAGCCTCTGCAGAGAGGCTAAGTGAAACCTGTAAGTGCAAAGGCAGTTACAATTAGGTGCTGCAGTACATAAAGGTATGTCATAGTTCTACCTACTTTGAGTGCACATATACTGTAAAGCTGAAGGAAAATGGTATGAAGAAAAGTTATCAAATAGGAAAGATAAGCAATGCCTCTATTTCAGATATGATATTAAGGTTCTTTGGAGAGATGATATTAAGAACCCATTTTCCCTACACACTAAGCTGTGACCGCCCATATTGGTTAAGTGGTGCCAACTTTTACACATGGTTGAACTAAAGAAATTACATTATATGCATGCTAAATAAACCGACACTAGTGTTTCAAAGCAGACACCTACTGGTACCTGAACATATCTATACATAATAAACTTAAACAAGAGGGTACAGACTTAAGCTTGCAAACTTGTCTTGTGTTAAAAAAATTATTAGTGACCTGTTATTAGTAAATTATTTATTTTGTGAAGCAGATGTTTAGGGAAATTGTTTATTCTGTGTTAAGACCATGGTGTTAAACCCCCTTCCTGGCCAGGCCATTTTTTAGTATTCATCGCAGCAGTACTCAGCAACACTGTACTGAAACTAATTTTATACCATTTTTTGGGGACACATAGAGCTTTCTTTTGGTGGTATTTAATCACCACTGGGGTTTTTATTTTTTACAATATAACGAAAAAGGTACCCTAAATTTTGAAAAAAAACCCTGTTTCCCTATGAAATGTTATGAACCATTTATTATCACCCCAATTTTTTGGTAAAATATAAAAGACGGAGTCACGTCGGGTAAATAGACACCAAACATGTCAAGCCTTAAAATTGCACGCGCGCGTGAAATCGCAGACAACGACCACACCCAAAATTGCCCATAGGCGACGCTGTAAAAGCTTTTTCCGCTCATCAGTTTAGTGTTATTAGTGATTAATGGCCCTAAAAATATTGCTCTCACTCCGACGTTCACGGCAATACGTAACATGTGTGGCACAATAGGCGGAATCGTCGTTTTCGCACGTTGGCGCACCTGATGCATGTTTGCCGGGGGACTTTTAAAAAATGTTTGTGTTATTTTTAAAAAAAATTATTTGGGACTATTTTTTTTAAGCTTCTTTATTTTTTTATGCTTTAATTTTTTTTTTACACTTAACTTTATTGCAATCACATGCGGGGCTAAGAAACTCCCTATGTGATAACCAATTCACATAACAGGTCCTCTTTATAGAGACATCAGGGGTCTAATGTCAGACCCCTAATGTCACCTATGAACCCTCAGAGAAGCTGATGAAGCAGAGATCTGCTTCAGCAGCTTCTCACCGACATCTATAACCAGAGAGTGTCTCTGAATGCAGGAAGTGATGTGATATACATCACTTCCTGCATTCGTGCACCAGAGACGATCAAAGGGAGCTCGTGTACTGATCTCCCTTTGATCTCCACTGACAGAGTCGCAGTGCCGGTCCCAGCCGAACCAGGCACAGCGGATCTCAGGACCGGCAGCGGCGCTAACGGAGATGGCGGGGGCACACACCTGCACCCACTACAAGCGATCGGGCGTCTGTAGAGATGCCTGATTGCTTGAATGTAAACATCCCTCGCTGGCTGTTTACATTTCTGACAGTTTCCCCACTCGTGTGTGTGCTGGGCACCGCGCATGAGCGGGGGGAGGGGAAGGACGTCTTAAGATACCCTCTCGCTCCTTTGTTCTATCAAAGATTGTGACTGGGTTGGAATGTGTGACCGGTCACGTGGTCACACATTTTAACGTAATCACGCCCATTTTTAAGGTGGTGGAATATGTGACCGGCAAAAGGTGAAGAATTCCAATGCTTTCTCAGCTGTTCCAGGGCAGATCGGCATCGCAGATGGTATGTGCAGGAGAACCGATCTGCCCTGGAACATCGGTCCTGGATCGGTCCTGAAATGTCACTTCTATCCGACTTTGTGGAATGTGAGATCGCAGTCACAGAGTCGGGTTGAAGTGACATTTCAGGACCAATCAGCTGTTCCAGGGCAGATTGTTTCTCCTGCACATACCATCCGCGATGCCAATCTGCCCTGGAACAGCTGAGAAAGTGTTGGAATTCTTCACCTTTTGCCGGTCACATATTCCACCGCTGAAAAACTGGGCGGGATTACGTCAAAATGGGTAACCATATGACCAGTCACACATTCCACCGCCGAAAAACTGGGCGTGATTACGAATGTGTGACCACGTCTCCATTCTAACGCAGTCGCAAAGTTTGATAGAACACCGGCCTTTCAGGAATGGCCTTGACAGGAGGTGGTTAAGAAATCCTAACCATATTTACAAATTCTGTAAAGGATCTGAATACTCAGTGGCTGATGTAATTTCAAACTCTTCAGATGAGATTATTTATAAATGGCAGTCTGTTCCAATCCATCTCTTTGAGCAGTAGGGAGGCTGTAGCTGTTTTTGTATACTACAATTTCAGAATAAGACTGTGGAAGACAGATGAATGAAATATTGAAAGAAGATTATTTTTTTCTTCATACTAATTTTATATGCTACTGTTCACACTGTTCTTCGGTTAAATTATTTCTTATCAGCACTACGACAATGCCATCTGGAGGTTGAAGTTGGAATGCCCATCATGCAGTTCCTGCTACCTATTCTAGCCCACGTTCATGTACTAAACTGACTATTTCTGTTTTTATAAAATACACATAACGTAAACATAAAGATTCAAACCAGAAGAATGAGAGGTACAAACAAAAATCAGAGTACCAGTTAGGACCTTTGATACATATTGTATTGCACTTTGTGAATATAGTTGTATTCTCTATAGTGAAATACACTTTATAGCATCTAGAAAATATGAACAGTAAGCAGTTATTAACACTTAAAAAGTACAGCAAAAAAATCTGTTTTCCCATCTGTAGACAAATGTAGATTTTCCACCTTCACCGATGCACCACTTCATTATGTCAGACGGTCTTTGCTGGAATTGCCAGATTACCTGTCTGGGCCTAGCCATAAGTGAATTAAACGATAAAATATGTAAAAATTATATTATGAATTTGATTTACTAAAGCAAGTGAACAAGAGCAGGGAGAAATCACTTCAGTACACTTGCATCGTGGGCCAACATGAGAGCCTGGATTTAGGCATGCACAGCAATCATGATCCCTGTCTAGCTGAATGTGCACTGATGTTCATTTACTGGATGTACAAGAACAGATAAAATATACTCACAAATGTAGTTGAGCGAACACTTTATCGTCACACTTTCATACTGGTCACATTGGAACCACAGAAGGGAATTTACCCTCACTACAGATGCAACGACTGCCATTCACTTTTCTGACACCTCCAGCCTCTGTGTACCTTGGTTTACGCATTTCAGGGGCACGCCCCTTCCTCAGAACCAGAAAGGGGCCGTGCCCCTGAAATGTAAACCAAGGCTCGCAGCGGCTGACGTCATTGCGCATATGCATGACTTATCGCGCACGCACGTGATGACGTCACGCACTATCACCTTGGGACAGCAGCAAATAAAATCTGCCTACTCATGAGGCAGATTTATGGTGGAATTAGCTGAGAAATGAGGAAACTTGTGCATGTGCAGCAGTAGAAAGGGAAGTGGCTGCACTGCATAGTTGAAGAGGAGGAGGAAAAAGGCACATTAGCAACATTCTAAGGGCTCGTTTCCACCATTGCATGCACTATTTTTTGCGATCATAACGCACTGGAACGCAGGGCATTTTATTACCACGCGGTCCTGTGCAGCTGATCGAACTGCGGGTGGGAGCCGTGTCTGCAGTGCCATTGGCATGAATGGCACTGCCACGCCCCCTCCCACCCCAGAAGGCAAGGAGACTTTGTGTATACGATCTCTTGTGTTCATGGCACGCGACAGTGCGATGAGTGCATGAGCTGGGGGAAACGAGCCCTTAAGGTGGAGGAGGAGGTGGAAAAAGGCGAATTAGCTGCACTTGCAGGAAAGTGGCTGCTCTGTTCCTGGAAGGAGAAGAAGGCACTTGTTTTCCAGCCATGTGTAGCGAAGCTACTTAAATGACACAGAATGCGGATGTGTCTCTATTAGGGATGCACCGATACCAGTGTTTCGGTATCGAGTACCAATATTTTTTTCCCGGTACTCGCAGATACCGAATACCGATGCCGGAAGTCCCATTAAGGAAGCCAGGTGGTGTGTAATGACTCGCCACCTGGCTTCCTGATTAGCCGAGAAGTCAGGGGGCATGTAAAAACTCGCCACCCGGCTTCCCGATTAGCAGGGAAGCCGCCCCCATGCTTCTCATCACTAGGTGACAAGAAAGCATGGAGCAGGCTTTCTGGCCAATCAGGAAGCCGCGCGCCAAGTAATGACTGTCATGAGGTGACGAGGGAGCATGGAGCTGGCTTCCCAGGCCAATCAGAAAGGCGGACGCCGCATCATTACATGGCACTCGGCTTCCTGATTGACCAGCTTCCCGACCCATCAGGAAGCCGTGCAGTGAGTCATTACATGCTGCCGAGTTTCCTGATTGGCCGGCAAGCCGGCTCCATGCCTCCTTGTCACAAGTGACGAGGGGGCATGGAGCCAGCTTCCCGGCCAATCAGCAAGCCAGGCAGCGTGTAGTGACTCGCTGCCTGACTTCTTGATACCGGAAGTATGGGGCTAGGCATCGGAGCATTTGGGCAAGTACTCGCCCAAATATTCTGCACCAATACTAGTATTGGTATCCCTAGTATCGGTATCCCTAGTCTCTATGTGAGATGGTTGCTTGCAGCCTGAGCTTCAGAGATTGTCTGACTGAAATCTGTCACTGTGGTGTAGTAAAAAATAAAAATATTGAGAACCATATGTTTAATGTTAATGAAAATAGGGTGAGTGGAGGTTTTTTGGGCAGGTCTAGCTTTAAAAAATGCATGCAGCAGCCAATCTGTCACCTATGCTGCCTTGGTAGCACATGAGTTGTGCATGAATGATTTTATTTTTGTTTATTTTCTTTTTCTAGCTTTATTAGAGACTTTTAGTTCCTATTTATATTTGTGTGTTTTGGCAACATGCAGTAAAATGCATGCATGAGATGCACTGCTGTACCATTAAGTGTACATGGCACCCCAACACACTGCACAGAAGAGGGCATGCACCACAGCGCACCATAATGGACATTTCTGGTCTGTTACAGTGGATTGGCAGCCCATTCATAATACATGGGCTGCCTTAATGCAATGCATGTTAATGTATGATGTAATAATAAGTGTTAAGCCCTGTGCGTTAATGCACAGCAAGGGATTGCATAGATGTTAATAGGTCCTTTCATACTAGCAGGATTGTACCAGGGGGCAAGGCAATGCATCCTGGGTACAGCCATGTTGGGAGTGATAACAAATGTAAGAACTGAAACTTACAAGCATTAGATATCTCACATGTTTCCAAAATTTGGTATATAATATTTGGTATCAAATTATCATTTGTTTTGCCATTCCATCTCATTAATTTCACCCAGTGTGATTATGATCACCTTTAAACTATTGTTTATTAGGGCACTGTGGAGTCCAATTTGTTGATCATACTTACAGGCATTTGATATCTCACACGCTTCCAAAATTGACTATTTGGTGACAAAGTATCATTTGATTTGTCATCCCATTGGATGCTCCCTTTTTGATTCATGATGTACATAAGAGAGTCTTGCATTTCTGTGTTCTCATTCATTTTGCCCAGTGTGATTATGATCACCTTTAAACTACTGTATATTAGGGCACTGTAGAGTCCAATTTGTTGATCATACAGCGAATCCATACTTCTTGTTTCGGCATTAAGAACAATAATAAGCCTTCTGCTCTTCTCTATGTTGATTGCTGATGAACTGCTGACATCTATGAAGTAATAATTTGAAACCAATTTGTAAATATCTCTAATATTGACTATAAAGATGTGAATAAACATTGTGAGGTATACTCAAAAAAATGTAAAACTGTTGCAACATTTTGAAACATACGGAGCATTGGATATAGCAAATTATCCAATGCAGTGTTTTTGAAATGTTTTTGTTAAAACTATTATGTGGATTGGAAATGTATGTGCATCATATCCGAAGTGTTATTTTAAATGATAGAAACGAACTAAATCTAACTAATAGCTACCACAGTTAAAAAGGTGTTAATGAAACCACTTGTATAATATACATATTTATATAATATCTATAGTGCTCCTACTGAACTACCTACTTACCAGCCTAGTGTCCACCTATCCTGTGAATCCCTACATACAGTATATCAACAGATATATTATGTATAAATAGCAATCCACACAAAAACAATAAAAAGCCAGATCTTCGATTGGACTACAAAACAGTAAGCCCTATACAAATGGAATAATCCACACTAATGTGCTATAAAGTGTTATTGTGCTCAGTAAAAATAACAATATCAAAGTCCCTAAATCATAGTTTGTAGAACTACAGGGCTCAGCCTGTTTTCCCTATATGAAAAGGACTGTAATATAAAGTAGGGATGCACCGATATATCGGCCGCCGGAACATATCGGGCGAAAATTGCACTTTTGGCTAAATGCCGAAAGTGTAATTTTCCTGCCGATACATCAGCACATCCCTGTTTTCTTTCACAGAGCAGCGCCCAGCAGGGAGGAGAGAAAGTGACAGCTGGCCGAGCGCTGTGGGAGGAGAGCGCTGCGAGCGGCCGGTGTCTCTCATCCCACACCACTCAGCCGCCTATCATAGTCCGGCAGAGCGGTGTGGGGGCGGAGACAGCCCGCGCTGTCACAGGAGGCTGGGCTCTCCTCCCTGCTCCGCTCGATCAGCCTCCTGTGACAGCGTGTCAGAGAGGAGAGCGAGAGCAAACACTCAGCAATCAGTGATCGCTGAGTGTTTGTAGATAAATGAGGATCTAAATCGCCTCCTGTTCATTCATAATTGTGGTTATAGTAATCATACTATGTTATGAATGAACAGGAACAGTCAGTATAGAGGATTCCTGTTCATTGATAACAGGGGATACAGCAAAGGAGATTGGGGACTCTGTGTTCTCAATCTCTTGAGTAGATTTTGGTTCATTGTGTATTTTTTTATTGCTGTTTAAATATATAAATCTGTTAATATATGTGGGGGTTCACAGGAAAAGAGGGCATAGCAATCACCCAGCTATACGATAGGTGGAAGATTTATGAATCAGCCCCTTTGGTGTATATGTTCACTAGAAGCTCTGTAGATATTATATTAAGTATGTCCTTTAAGTAAAGCATGCTTTTCCTTGCTGTACTGAGGGCTAAAAAGCCCTCCTTGTCTCATGACACCGACAGAGCAAAGGGGAGAAGAGGTTGTGGAGACCAATCTAGCAGCCAGGTAGGACCAAGGCTCAGGTGAGTATATCTTTTTAATTCAGCCCCTAAACCAAAATGAGCACTTAACACTTGAAGTGTGGAGGTAGTCGCACTGCAAGGGTAAGTTTGTTAAATTCCCAGAGTTCTTCTTTAAAGCCAGAAACACTATTTTCAACTACTTGCTTTGGGCCTCCTTGTGCTTTGAGATGTTTCTGTGCCTCGTGTTTCCTTGTACTTTCCTCACCTCTGCACCTCTTAGCAGCTTTTTACTGTCAAATAGCCCATGATGAGGTTCTCACATACTCCTATGTAGGTAAAGTAAATTATCGTTGAAATATTCATGCTTGGCTGGCACGGACATATCTGGCTGCAGTGATGCCAAGGCCCATAACCCTTCATAGATTAAACTTCATGACATAGGTTGACCTTATTTGTAAGGCATACACATGGGACAAAAGGCAAGGAGCAATTCGGTCCATGTCTGCCCCATTATAATACCTTTAACAACTGACCTGGCCACCAAGCACATATACAATATGTATTAATGGCATTTTTAATAATGTTTTGTTAAATATATGAAGCATAGAATTCTCTTTGTATGACATCATCTAATAGAAAACTGTGTGTCAACAACAGCAACTGTAATAATAAGAACCCAGCACTGTGTGAGCACCTTACCTTCACCAGGCACTGCGTTTCTCCCAGGGACAAAAAGCCGAAATCCACATTTATTTTCCAGCACTTTAGGTAAAATGGTATTTACAAAATAATCTGCAGAGTTATCCGTGGAGTTTTCATAGCAAGTGCTTGGGTAGATCACATAAGCATCGTATTCTTTGCCATCTAAAAACACACGAACATGAATGTTAATTGAGCTGATATAGTAAAAATAATATCAGTGCTTTGGACTGCTTATTTAATAAGCATGAGTGTATAACTAAAATTGTGCTAAAAAACCCTCTCACATATGAAGCCAAATGGCAGAATTTAAAGTGGAACTCCAGGAATGTGAAAAATTAACCCTTGCAGTGGGGTTTATCCTCACAATCCAAGCTGCTAGACCGGTCCCCCAGCCTCTCCTCCCCACTGACATCATCATGTCTAATGCAGGTCCATTCACCTGCATTAGATCCTTACAGATCAGTGGACGCTGAGGGACATACACAGCCGGAGCGGAGGGGGAGAGAGATGAACACTGACTGCCCCAGGACAGAGGATCAGATAAGTATAGCCCCTCTGCAAGGGTTAATGTGTTAAATAACTTGAGTTCTTCTTTAAATGCAGATTGAAGCAATGAAAAAAATCCTTTCTTGTTAAGGCAAATCTAATCCATATCTGATATTTATAGATCTTTTTAATAGATTCTCCAAAAATTGTAAGGTCAAATAACTTGGGGAATTTAGTTGTGAGAGACTAATACCTGTAAACATGAAGCTCATGTCAATTCTGTTCCCTCTGGCAAAACTGTTGTTTAGTGAGTCTACCCATTACATTAAAGAGCCAATAGGGAGGTATGAAGGAGCAGTGCCAAGCTTGGCTTTTACAGGAACAGTTTGAATTGCCCAGATTTGTGATTTGCAAATAACTTCACCTTTCTCTACATCTACTAATCGTTTTAACATGATGTTTTAACACGAGGTAACTGCTGTGTGTGTATATAATATCATTTTTTACTGGGTTTTTTTCTCTTCATAATTTGCTCTGCTTGAACTACCTAGTATCCCAGCTAGCCCATTTTGAACTTTGTATGAGTATTTGATACCAGACAAAGTACAGTATATCAGTACATTACATAATCTAGATATTATAAGCTGAATTTATATTTTCTCATTCTGCATTGAGAGGCAGGATATTTACCACAAAATGTAATTCATAGAATTGGCTTGCTCAATGTCATACTTACCATTTCTGTAATGATATTTCTTGAAAATGTCTCGGCATAGTAGCACAAGATCAATTTTGTAACGTGTATATAACAAGAGTAATAAGCAACTTAAAGCTCCCAAGACAACAACCGAAAAAACTATAGGATCCATTCTGTTAGGTTCTGAAACATAAGGCAATTACATTATACCAAAAGCGAACCTTTACCCATATCTTTAAAATAACAACAAACACACCTTTAGAAATGTTTAGTAATGACAATCTACAAACACATACTTCTAGATAATTGTCGGCTTTGTATTCTTTGCATACCTTATTTCTCTTTTCCCTCCTCAGTCTTCTGACAGTGGCCATTTTTCCTAAGGGCAGATTACTAGATCTCCTTTTACTTCCTTAAATTCTGGCACATGTGACCATACACATCATCCCAGGGGAGGAGGAAATGCCTTCTTCTGAGATCTCCTGAGACTACAGATGAAATTTCCCAGCAATGCTTTGTTAATGACAAGGCAATCCCAGTGTACATTGCTTTGGGAAACTGAAGTAATTTTGCCCTTTCAAAGCAGGAAGTGAATGCTCTGCAAGTGTAAAGGTCTGCTTTAAGCTAATCATAAAAGCAAAATAGGATTTGCTGTTTACAAAGAAATGGCACCTCTACACAGAGACACAATGCAGCACAAGATATGGTAAGACCGTAATGGGGACAGATCAGCTGCAGGGAAACTACAGGCAATACTAGTAACCAGCTTTTGCCCTAGGTCTAAATACATACTAAATAGTGACTAGTTTACATGGTTTGTGTGAAGTATACAAAAAAAATATCACAGTGATTTCCAACTTTCTTTAAAAAAAAATACCCTCAGTTCTACTACCTCAGTTCCCGTGAAGTCACAAAAACAGAAAGTGTGCAAAATCTCTCCAACATGGGTACAAAAACAAATAAAACTTTTTTTTATTTTTTTTAAGTAGAGCGGGGAAGGGTAGAACCTCTGTAGGAGATAGATTTTATTGCTACAGCCTGAATGTAATCTTGCAAATCCTAAAATGTCAGTCTCTAGGAAATATTACAGTGTAATTTAATATCCTAATGCAATAGGTTATATGCTTAGCTCTCCTGATTACAGTTTTGGGACAGGTCCCTCTGGCACTGAAGGCAAAGATGCCAAAGCGTGCCCCCACCCAAATGTAGAAGAAATGCATACATTTTAACTAGCCCGGGGTCTTCAAAGGACCTCTGATAAGGCCCTGTCATAAATGGTCCGGTGTGCAGTTTTAGGAATACACTTCTGTGAGGCTAGGGTATTTATCTATACTGACCTACAGCTAAACTCCACAAAGTAAAGTTTCATTCATATTCCATAACTCCTACCATAATGGAGTTATCTTTCTAAAAGGAGGTTACACTTCAGCAAACCCACAACACACTACTTAGACATTTTGATTGGGTGGGACAGCCCTGTAGCACCTTGTCTTTGTGAGAAGAAAATGTAGTAGCACTAGCAGCTAGCAGCTCTCGTTTTGCAATAAGAACTATTAAAAGGAGAACTATGGGGTCAGTGTTTTTCCCCATAGTTCTCCTTAGGGTAATGGGAGGACACAAACTAGCGTCCTCCCGTTACCCTAAGCTCAGTATACCGCGAGCTACAGCTCGCGGTATACTGAGACGCCGCAGCCTGAGCGGATCACGACTTAGCTGACGGGATCTGCCCAGCTGCGTGAGTGACAGCTGGCTCTGCCTATCTAGAGGCAGAGCCAGCTGTACCCGCCCCCTCCCCCGTCCGTTCCGCAGATCGGAGCAGGAAGAGGGGAATCCAGCCCCTCCCCCTGTCCCCCTGTCACGGCAGAGAGCCGTGACAGGATCGAGAGGCGAGTGAACCCTGTATGTGTTCGCTCACCTCCCGATCTACTGAGCCGACCTGTGACAGTCTCATTGTCACAGGTCGGCTAGAACTATGAGGTGAGTGAAAAGCACTCACCTCATAGTTCTCCTTTAAGGAGTGCTAAGAGTCATTTATTGGGGCATGTGACTCTTGCAACATCAGATTGGACTTAGGCGGTTATTCACAAAGCTGCCAAAGGTAGCCAAGTGACTAACCCAGCCGAAGTGAGCTGAACCCTATTCGGCTATTTACTTCAGTCTTGTAAGGCTGATTTCCGCCGTACATGGGCTAAAATCAACCGTACATCATCTGCCATCGGTCAGCCGAACATGCTCTGCATGTTCAGCTAAGCCGAAGTGTAGAAGGAGTAAGACTCAGCCGCTCCAACATCTGGATTGGCTGTGCCGAAGCTCCGGCAGCTCCCTCGCTGCCGTTCGCCACTATTCTCATACACATTTAAAAAAAGGAAAAATTAAAAAAAATTAAAATATAAGAAATATATAAGAATATAATATATTATTATATTATATTTTTATATATAATATAAGAAAAGAAAACTGAACCGAAGGACAGAGGCAGCCGAAGCAAGCAGAAGGATCAGCCAAAGCTACAGCTGGATCCTTCGTCTCTTTAGTGAATAACCCCCTTAGTTTTCAAGTGATCTAAACTCTACACTATATCCAAGGCCAAATGTACTCTACTTAAGTATGTTTTCACTTCACCGTTTTATTTTTACTTTTGCATATGTTTGTTTTTTAAATATATTTTCTGTAAATATTTCTTGCAACATTTTTCTTTTCTTTTCATTAGACGATATTTAAAAATTATTGAGCTGAATCTCTGAAGACTCTAACTAGAAATTAGGAACTCTGAAAAGATACCAAATTGTAAACGTTGTTACATTCCTGTATGGACATTGCAGTGAGTGATACAGACTTTTAGGGTCAGAATTGCAACAGTGGATGCTATTAACAGTGCATGTTTGCATGAAAACATGTGGTGGTAGCTAATGTGTTTGCGTAGAAGGTTAACTGCTCAGTTGACCTGCCCCAGTGTCGTTCAGTCCCAGTCTGCTGTGCTTAGATTGTTTTCCAGTGAGCTGGAAAATCTCTGTGTAGGGTGAGGCTGAGAGTGTGTACACCACAATATTTTAAAATAACCAACTGTAGTGCTTGGCGCTTAGACTTTTCATTACTCTGCAGTAAGCAAGACTGTTGTTCTGTGAATTTAATTCCTGGCTTTAATTCTAGATGCCATCCTAGATAATAACTCAATATGAAGATAATTTATTAATTTATCAATGCACCAACACTGTTAAAATAATTAGGGTAATCAGGTATAAAAAAAAAAGATAATTTGATGATTGGATAGTTTTCCAAAATCTTACTAAATCAGGTTATTCACACTTACAATGTTACCTACCAATGTTCCCTTTTTTCCTAGACTATATAAATTCCTGGAAATACGGAGATAAGAAAAAACAATACCTATGAGTATTTCAGTGTATCAACTTAGTTTAAAGAGATCCTGAGCTCTGGAAACTGTGCCCAAAAAGCGCAAGCAGAGGGCAAAATACTAGTTACAAGTATTGCCTGTGGTCACCCTGTAGCTGCTTCTCCTCTCCTTATGAATAATGTACCATGCCTTGTTATGCACTGTTCCGCATGTCTCTGTGTGGTAGAGATCCTCATATCAGAGTGGTCTCCCTTATGGACTTATGGAGGCATAATCAAGCAAATGAATGAGAGGTTCAGCATGCACATATCCACAGAATTAAATAAGCAAAAGCAGGGAATTGATTGTCTGCTGGTCCTCAGGTACAGCTTGTTCTCTAGCAAGCAGCACAGTAGTGGCATCATCAAATCTCACTCCAAATCTTTTCAGACTAGAATTCAGAGGCAGCTGTGCCTTAAATGATCTCACACTGCAGATATACAGCTATGATGCTGCATGCAAAGGAATGCCAAAACACAAGAAGTGCACTGCAACTTTTAGGAGGAATTCCATACAATATACTTTTTCAGGGTACAGCTTAGACACAATTATTGTTTCTAGAGGTTCACTATAAGAAATTAACTTATTTTCCAGGTCCACTTTAAAAGGTAAATATGTCATCTTCTTCCTCTATAATGTCTTACCTGGAGGTTTTAAAATTCGTATTATTTCGTCCTTTCCTTTATTATTGTAGGCAATGCAACTATAATTAGACATATAATCATTGTTCTCCACTTTCAGAATAGTGAGATTCGTCTCAGTGTAAATTTCATATGAGGATATGCTGTAGGTTCTGAAAATAATCATTAGTTGATGGATATGTCTAACATATTGATAGTATCTTTTTTTTTTTTTATTCTGATTAAAATAAATCTTCACACTATCAATCTTCCATTTTATCTGTGCATCTTCTATTCCTTTATTTAGGGAGTGCTTGATCTCTAGATCCATAATTATTAGGTAATTAAAAAAATGTATTATTTAACATTATTACTATGTGATTAATGAAAGCTGTGTTGTGATTGATTAGTTTGGCTTACTGAACAGCACTCCTTTTTTTTTTAAATGTTGAAATTAAACTAAAACAAAAACAGCAAGTTGCTGCGCTTGGAGTAATTAGTGGTGCTAGACCAGCCGCAACAATGTGAGGTGGTGAACCCGTGTATATTTAGTGATGCTATTTTGTTGCCCTAGATATACCAATCTCAATATAAGGCCTCATTCACACACAACGCATCAAAATTGTATATTGCGTCTATGCGCGTATATATGAGCGTCTATGCACGTATATACGAGCATATATGCGTGCACTATATGCAATCCCAGAATGCATCACTCGTAATGGAATTTTTCATGTGCTGTACGCATGTGCGCGTAAATAGGCAGTAAACACACGTATGTGCGCGTAAATACGCAGAAATACGCTGCCCGGACGCATCTCTGTTCCATTCTGTTTTGCGCATATATACGCTACGCAAATATACAGCTCTATACGTGGCTATGTGTATGGAGCCATTTATTTGCATATGTTGCATATGGTACAATACACACGTAAGCGCGTATATGCGCGGCAGTGTGAATGAGGCCTATAGGTGTTGTAAATATCAACAGGTGTTCTACTCCAACATCCAACAACATGTGTTTTTATAGGAGATGTTTAAATATTATGCTGCACAGTGAGTAGTAATAATCAGCGTAAACTCTGATGTTATCCTTGATTTTTGATATATTTGTACACATTCACCTATTAGTTGAAATTAAACTGTCCACACTGCTGTTTGTGTACTCA